AAAGAAAGAAAGAAAGAAAGAAAGAAAGAAAGAAAGAAAGAAAGAAAAGGAAGAGAAAGAAGAAAAAGGAGGATGGGTTGGGATATAGCTCAGTGGTGGAGTGCTTATGTAGTGTGCATAAGGCTTACACACACACACACCACCAACAAAAATTTCAAAATCTGCAAGAATACAATTGAAATTGGAAACACTTCTGGTTCTTTGCATCTCTGATAAGATATCTCTGCCTTGTCTTTTGTTCCATTATAATCAGTTGATTCACCTGTACTCAAATTCGATGTGGGTATCTAGTGGGGGACCACAAGGCTCTGTCCTTTCCCAATATGCTTGCTTAGTAAGGGGATGGGCCACTAATGCCCTGAAAATCTGATTCACTGAAGACAGTCTGGAAGAGCTCACAAATATAGTCACAGCACAAAATGACTAAACAGATGGGAACAAAGAAATGAATGTACAAAGGTAAAAAAGGGATTTTGAGAAACAGAAACAGTATATATTGAATCTGGGTCCCCTAACTAGCTCTAAAATTGGATGGGTTAGATAGCATTTAGAAATAATATATTTAGGAAGCATTGAGGATTTTCATGATTATACACCCAGTTTAAGTCAATATGACAAAGAGGCTCCCAGAAGTGCAAGCTATTTTCAGATGTATCAGCGAAAATATGATGCTGGGAGGGACGAAGGTTAGAAGACACAGGTGGCTAGAATCCCCGTCTTCACACAGTTGAGGGATTGCAGAGGATTCGGGTCACACCTGGCTGGGACTTCTGCTGAGAACTCTGAAATGTTGTCAGATTTGGCAAATAAAAACATGAGCTCCTAAGCTAAGAGATATTTGAATTTCATGAAGTTCGTATTTGGGACAGGCTTCTAAAAATTATTCACTCTTTCTCTGAAGTTCAGATCTAATTGGGTGTCCTATATTTTTTACGTCAATCAACCTGTGATGTATCTCAGATTCAAATCTCTGGAGGTGAGATTATTTTAGTTCCCTAGATGTGATTCCTTTCTTCTCCTTTCTTCTTTCTTTCTTTCTTTCTTTCTTTCTTTCTTTCTTTCTTTCTTTCTTTCTTTCTTTCTTTCTTTCTTTCTTTCGATAGAGCCTCACTGAATAGCCAAGCATGGCCCCTAACTCTCTCTTTTAAAAATAAAATAATTTGAGACAGAGTCTCATGTGCCCAGTTGTTCTTGAGCTATTGTAGCCAAGGATGACCTTAAACTTCTCATCCTCCTGCCTCCATCTCTCAAGTGCTCGACAGATTTTCTCCTCCTGGAACTCTTGGTCTTCTTGCCGTAGTCTTCTGAATGTTGGGATCCCTCTGACTTTTCCATCTTAAGATTCAGCTATGGATGAAGGCTTGGGGAATACACATCAGGATCTGACATGTGCACAATGCATTGCAAACAGCACTGACTGTCATTAATATTAGCAGTCAGTGGTATTTCTTCTGTTTTGGAGAATAAGAGACTAAGGAGCCCCTAGACATCAAGGGAAGATTATCTGAAAACACCAATATTGGCCTAATTCTGGAGTCCCATAGCAGCATAAGAGCTGAGGTTGTGGGGCCAGTGGGCAGAGGGCTTGCTTGGTAGGTAGGAAGTCCTGCCTTTGATCCACAGCACCACATAAGCTAGCTAAGGCACCGCACACCTGTTATCCCAGCATTCAGGGCTTAGAGGGAGGATGATCAGAAGTTTAAGGCCATCTTCAGAGGTACAGAGTAAGTTCAAGTGGGTCTGAGTTACATGAGACATTGCACACACACACACATCTCAAAACAACACAGGAAAAAAACACAGCGAGCAAAGTTGATGAGTGTTGAGGAGAGTACATGGAGACAGACTTTGGAAGAGCTTGTAGATAGGTCCCAGGCCACCCCCAGTCCTCTCTCCCACCCCACCCTTCGCTGGTCCCAGAAACAGTGCTCCTGCAAGGACTTCAGAACCAAAGAGAGCATGCATCACAGGTCCAGGGGCCACTTTTGCGCTAGGACTCACAGCCTTTCTTGCTCAGAAGGATCAGAATCACACACACACACACACACACACACACACACACACACACACACACAC